ATATTAACATTGTTTTATTTCAGGGGGTATTTCTTTATTCGATGGACTATGATTACAGTATGAATGGCTCTCCATACATTACGCTTGGTGGCGGTAATGCACCAAACAGAGATTTTCCAATCGCTAAGAAAACACGAAGAAGAAAAAAGACCAATGAGAGACGTCTTTACTGACTGGCGGGTGGCAGATGATGACGTAACGTCCGTGACTTACAACAACAAAAGGATGGTGCATAAATATAGTTTCTAAATAATTTGGGGCTTTATTACCTCACATGAATCGGAATTTCATGTATTATGGAAGTTGATTTAGCTAATTAGTGGAGATAATTTTCGGAAATGAACGGTAAGACAGAACTTTGAAAGTGATGCTTTAAACAAGTRCTAGCTAACATTTTAGGTCGGAAAACTGAATGGGAATAAGAGCTTTCWACAGTTAAATATAACTTCACTGGTATTATAGTATCCAGTGTYTTTAGTTGTGGTTGTGTTATCACTTTAGACCTTCTCAAACCGAACAGTGTTAAATGTGCTAAACACTAAAGCTAACGAGGCTAGTTTCATGCCTGCAATTAAAAAACAGTTCATTTAAGGACCTCACAGACCGAGACGTTTCTCTCCTTTTTAAGTCTGGTGGTATTTGGCTTTAAGTCTTACACATGTTCAAGTAAATGGAGTAAATAACATTACTAGAAGCATTTGCTATGCACTGATAAATTATTGTTTGATGGAAAAAAGCTAAGTATCTTTTGAAGAATCCTGACTTAAACGTTCTTTGCTCCAATGTTTTCCCCAGCAGAACCGGTCAGAAACTGAWATCCTCAAAGATAAAATATCTGCTTTCAAAATAATAAAATGGTAAGAATTTTGRTTTCACTAGCCCTTGAGTCTATGATTAAATACAGCATGTGTATCTTTATTGTTTGTTCTTTTACACTTTCTCTTTGTTTAATCTTTCCAGATTCGAATCGCAGCTCTAAATGCTGCTTCGGCCGCTGCAGATGAATCTCAGGACCCATTGAGAAGTAACAAGAGTCAGACAAAAGAGGCCCAAGTACAGACTATACACAGATGATTAATGACATTGAAACAGCCTCTGCTGACATGATGCATAGAAWTCACATTTTGCCTTTGTTTGTGTTTCTCACTGTAGGAAGCTGAGGCCTTTGCTTTGTATCACAAAGCTCTGGATCTTCAAAAACACGACAAGTTTGAAGAGTCTGCYAAGGCTTATCATGAGCTGCTCAAAACTCCACTGCTCAAAGAGGTAAAACTAATCTGTGCATTAGAGTCTATAGATCTAAAATTGTTGTTAAACATGTTTTACTTTCACAGCTACTTCAGCTACAGCTACTTYTGCCTAGAACATTTGCAGAAGGAATTTGCTTTGGGGTGCCGGTGCAACATKGTAATTTACAGATTAAATAAATTGCACAGGACAAGACTTAGAGAGCCCAGGTTCATCTGCTCCATACACAGGATCTGGTCTGAGTCTGTGTCCACTTTTCACTTTGCCACCTGACAGCTCTGTGACGCAATTCTCTCTGATGAGCTGGAGGCCTGCAAACTGTGACACAAGTCCAGTACAAGCTCACACAGCCAAGTCTCCATGAAGCACAAAACAGATGAAGATGAAAAGTATTTGTGTTTCYCCATCGATAGCTTACCTTGATCTGTTTTGTTGCTCAGTGTGGGCATGTTGGGAAAAAAATAGTCCAGGTAGAGATGGGCTCAGACAGCACTGCTGATGATGATGAATTAACTTCGCAATGAAATAAGGATGATAATGATAAAAATAATGACTGCACAGCAAAGGCCAAAAATATATTGTCACAAAAAAAAAAAAAAAAACATGAATAAGTGACAGAGGTAATCCCCATGAGGGTTCTAAAGAAAAACTGACTGGCTGCAAACTCTGAAATGTGACTTTGCAAAGGTTCACTGCAGTGCACACCAAGACTTTGAAGTTTTCAGTCGTTGTCAGTTTTGCAGTATTATTAAGTTATAAGCCAGTAGGCATGTAATGCAGATTTTGACAATATAACTCAATTCTAAATAACACTGTTTTACATTAGAAACAATAATTGGATAAATAAAAGTTTACATTGCAAACAGATTAAAATAATCTTTCAGAAAAATAATTTATTCATGAATTCAGTAGTGAGTCAGTTTCTGTATTTAAACCAAGACACACACACACACACACACACACACACACACACACACACACAC